GAGAAAAGAAAGATGCGAGAAAGAATTTAGTGATGATATTATGAGTTATTTTACAAGGCATTTACGTTGTTATGAGTAAGAGTCAGGCAAATTCTTGTTGCTTCTTAATAAGAACGCATTTTCAGTGAGGTAGGCGACTTTTATGTGTGGTTTGGCGAAATCGATTTTCATTATGGATGAATGTTGATTTAACGAAATCTTTTTTTTGGTCATAGAATATTATAGGTTTTTGATTGTTTTCATGTGTTCATTTCCAGATCCACAATACTTCAACTCGCTTCCACCGCATTTACCAGCCGCGATACTCCCTCCAAACGGACCCAGCGTTCGAGGCCAGGGTTATCAATCTGTGTCTGCCTACACCAGTCCTCCTCCATTTAATGTGAGTGGTTTTAAAGCTTGTTTAGAGATTCATTAGAATTTCTTTTGACCAGTTTTGTTGCCTAATATTTCATCTGAATCCCCTCAAATGGATAAGAAAAGTGATCATTCGGTCAAAATTGTGATCATGTCAGTTTGGTACGATTTTTGGTTATCATTCAGAATGAGTTATCACGAGCCAGAAATCTACTACTGTCATTAATATCCTTATCGCTGTTATGTATAGCATTACTGTTGTTGTCTGATATTATTCCTACTGCAAGTATAATCCATATTACGATCGTTATTCTCAGTATTTCCATCTTGATTAAGCAGTTAGTGTTGAGTGCGTATCAAATTATGGCGGAAGATATGATGTTGAGATATTATAGTTATGGTGAATATTTCGAATGATATTGCAACTCTGAAATAGCGACGGAATTGTTTGCGATCGATATTTCGGAGTTTACATAATTTCATTTTTTATTTGTTATTTACTGAACATATGAATGTGTGCTCATCAATAGAACATGAAAATTTCAAACAAAAATTTGAATCGTCAACAAATTAGGGCGATGCACCGATTTTGTCGGTGATCAATGAAGATGGCAACGCTCCGAGGAATCGTAGGGGAACAACAAGAGAAAATCAACGTGAACGGCATTCGGATCAACCAAGGCGTGGCAGAAATGCGGACAACTATTCAACGAATGAAACGATGAACACACATAATTCTTATGGAAGAAAAAGTAAGTTTCATCAAATGTTCATTGTTCATTTTATTGTTTCATTGATTTGTTCGTTCATTTTAATCAATCACTTGGTTTTTATGCTGCGGTAATGACTTATAATCAACTAGAAGTGATCGTCACTCATTACACAAGTAAATCAACTGTCCTCGTTCACTGGCATGTTCAACCACATTCAGTTCACGTATCTCTTGTAAAATATCTATGCGATATGGATCGATGAACTAGCTAGAAGAATAAGTGCTTGATTGAATGAAATACAGTCATTTTATGCTTTACTATATTTTTTTCTGCATTATATTAAAAAGTGTATTTTATTTGTTTGTAAGCTTAAAATAGATCTTATTAACCATATATTATTAAAGATGCGTTTGTAAATAAAATACAGAACTGGGAATGGTTATTTGAGGTTCAGCACAGTGAGAATTAAATTTGACTTAAGTCGCCTTTACTATAATCTACCGATCCCAGTTTGAGTTTAAATGATCGATAGATTCATGAAACTTGAAGAAATCTGCCTTTTTTATTAGGTTCAGGAATCGGAATGATGTTATTTGTGTCTCCTTCTGTCAGTCTAATAGATAAGTGTATGTGATTGGATGAATAAATTATATTTTATTGCAGAACAAGGAGGTGGCCCTCGCTTTAATCAGAAGTATGCTGAAGGTGATTCGTGAGAGCTGTATTTATGAAGAATGCGTGAATATGCCAGGAGACGTCTCTATCGTTCACTAGTATTATTGGTGATATCGTTTGTATGACAGTGTTATCGTTGGTTTGGAAATTTCGATGAAATTCTGCTGGACTTTAGAGATTTGGATGGTTCGATTTGTTAAAACATTATGGTTGATGAGGTTTTTTTTCAGTGAATTTAATGCAGGTATACTTCGGGTTGCGTTGTTTCGAGTCAGGTCGTTCTCGATTATGTGTCATTTTATGTTTTACTATATTTTTTTCTGCATTATATTAAAAAGTAAATTTTATTTGTTTGTAAGCTTAAAATAGATTCTTATTAAGCAT